TCCTGATCAACGGACCCGAGATCATGTCCAAGCTGGCCGGAGAGTCGGAGTCCAATCTGCGCAAGGCCTTCGAGGAGGCCGAAAAGAACTCGCCGGCCATCATCTTCATCGACGAGATCGACGCTATCGCCCCGAAGCGCGACAAGACCCACGGCGAGGTGGAGCGCCGCATTGTGTCGCAGCTGCTGACCCTGATGGACGGCATGAAGAAGAGCTCCCATCTGATCGTCATGGCGGCCACCAACAGGCCCAACTCCATTGACCCGGCCCTGCGTCGCTTCGGGCGCTTCGATCGCGAGATCGACATTGGCATTCCGGATGCCACCGGCCGCCTGGAGGTGCTGCGCATTCACACCAAGAACATGAAGCTGCACGACGACGTCGACTTGGAGCAGATTGCCGCCGAGACCCACGGACATGTGGGCGCCGATCTGGCCTCGCTGTGCTCGGAGGCTGCCCTGCAGCAGATCCGCGAGAAGATGGACCTCATCGACCTGGAGGACGACAAGATCGACGCCGAGGTGCTGGCCTCGCTGGCCGTGACGATGGAGAACTTCCGCTACGCCATGACCAAATCCAGTCCGTCGGCGCTGCGCGAGACGGTGGTGGAGGTGCCCAACACCACCTGGACGGACATCGGCGGCCTCGAGAGCGTGAAGAAGGAGCTGCAGGAGCTGGTGCAGTACCCGGTGGAGCACCCGGACAAGTTCTTGAAGTTCGGCATGCAGCCCAGTCGCGGCGTCCTCTTCTACGGACCCCCCGGCTGCGGCAAGACGCTGCTGGCCAAGGCCATTGCCAACGAGTGCCAGGCCAACTTCATCTCGGTCAAGGGCCCCGAGCTGCTGACCATGTGGTTCGGCGAGTCCGAGGCCAATGTGCGCGACATCTTCGACAAGGCTCGCTCGGCGGCTCCCTGCGTGCTCTTCTTCGACGAGCTGGACTCGATCGCCAAGGCCCGTGGCGGCAATGTGGGCGATGCCGGCGGCGCCGCCGACCGTGTCATCAACCAGATCCTCACCGAGATGGACGGCATGGGGGCCAAGAAGAATGTGTTCATCATCGGAGCCACCAATCGCCCGGACATCATCGATCCGGCCATCCTGCGTCCGGGCCGCCTGGACCAGTTGATCTATATTCCGCTGCCCGACGACAAGTCGCGCGAGGCCATCCTGAAGGCCAACCTACGCAAGTCGCCGCTGGCCAAGGAGGTGGATCTCACCTACATCGCCAAGGTGACGCAGGGCTTCTCGGGCGCCGATCTGACCGAGATCTGCCAGCGGGCCTGCAAGCTGGCCATCCGACAGGCCATCGAGGCCGAGATCCGCCGCGAGAAGGAGCGCGCCGAGAACCAGAATTCGGCGATGGACGTAAGTCATCTGGGTTAGCTCACAATTGAATATATGTTTTTGAAAATTCTCCCATATACCAGATGGACGAAGACGATCCAGTGCCGGAAATCACCAGCGCCCACTTCGAGGAGGCCATGAAGTTTGCTCGTCGTTCGGTGTCCGATAATGACATCAGGAAATACGAGATGTTTGCCCAGACTTTGCAGCAGTCGCGTGGTTTCGGACAGAACTTCAGGTGAGATAATTTCATTGCTCATTTTACAAGGGAATGATTTCTTATTAACCCCTATTTGCCCTTTAGATTCCCCGGTCAAACCGGCAACACCTCAGGATCTGGCAACAACTTGCCAGTGAACTCGCCGGGCGACAACGGCGACGATGATCTTTACAGTTAGATTTCTAGTTTTACACTGCGAATGCAAAACAAAACCACAAAATGAAACTTTTTAAATGAATTTTTCCCCGTAAAACCGATCAAGCAAACAAATCACATTCGCATCCTGGAGGCGGTTAACTACAGCAACCACTGGCTAAGACATTCGGCCGACAGCGAAATCAGATCAGAAATCACATACAGATACAATAACACAGATAACTTTTTTTGATACCATCCTTGGTCCTGGCCGCGAATCCGTGGAACTGGATAATATTCTAATTTGGACTAGGGCATGCCTAATCCGGAACCATTTCAATTGGCGATCCAATCCGCGCCTCACACTAATCATTCGTGCATTGTCGGTAGAGTGGCTCCGATATATGAGTTTCTATAAACATAATTATAAACGATACACATACACACATACATTTAAAGATAAATACATATATTAAACACCGTAAAATTATAAGTGTATTTGGAGCTACGTTTTTAAGTGAATAAAAATTATAAATTCAATAAATCATCTTGTCTTTTAAATTATATAAATGCCAAAGAAAATGAGATCGTCCGTTCCACTGAGCATATACCAAGAGTTCAACAGTCTTGCTCATGAAACCAAAGTCAGTTAAGTATTAGCTCCCCAGCTTCCAAATAATTTTACGTTTATTCGGTCATGGATAGACCTACTCGGCTAGTGATCCTGACAAAGAATGTATTTATTTAAAGGCCGTGTTTAGACTCGTAGATCACAAAAAAGAAGTCAACAAATTGTTTAATGAATACATTTCTGTAAAAAGTTTTTCTAAAGAAATTTTGTTTGGTATTTATGTCTCGAATCCCGCCTTACCAATTTTTGGTGATGTTTGTTTTAAATTACAACTAGAAATGCCACCTAAAATTTTGCTGTATAAATAATAAAGATACATTGAATATATTGTGAGCTACAAGTCGGCCAACATTAAAAATGAAGAAGTCTCTTAAATTCGTTCTGGGGTCTAGCACTAACAAAATTTTCTTTCATTTGCTTTAAAGAGTACACATGAATATTATTTTGTAACCTAGTGCTATCAAATAAAAGCTAACAATAAAAATAATGTAAAAAGCGCCTCAGTTTCCCAGCAAAATCGATTTTGTCATTTATTCAAATTGGTGTTTTGGAAATATGAACTGTAGATACAAAATTCAACACATGGGCATTTCTTTCAGAGTGTCAACCAGAACAAAAAGCTTTAAATTTGATTGAAAAATTGCGAAATGATATTGCCCCGATATTTCTTTTTAAGAGCTTACTACTCAACCCAAAACAACAAAATTCATATGAAAGAATTTTTTTGGCGTTTTTTTCATATGAAGTTTTTGTTGGGTTAAGTACTAGCCCCTAAACACAATCAAAGGGTAAAAAATATTTGTTTGATATTTTTTGTATACCTATGTTTATTCTGTACACAAAGAAAATACGATTTTTTTAAATGTGCATAAAAAAGACTTAAACATTTTAAAAATTAAAAGTTTATTTTATTTTAATTATTCTTTTATAACGCTTAATTTTAGTTTTTAATTTTAGAGAATTATTTCCTCTGTGTAGTGTGTAATCTTATAAGAAATATAATATCCGACAATATGTTTACTCAATGCCTAATGTTCATATTCAACGATCTGATTAAAAGCAAAAGATTAATACATTTTATACTAAGGCTAAGGAACACCGCCGAACAAGAAGATGGCAAAAAGTGTCGCGTACGACATGTCGCGTGCAACAGTCACTAAAATTCAATTTGCACAAAAAACCGCTACCTAATTTCGAAAGCGCGCCAAACCATTAAACATGAATATAAAAAATTAAAATGGTTTTTATTTGGATGGGTTTTGATAAACAAATCAAAATCGCATTATATAATCTTTAAAAATGAAGGGGGGTTTATAGTGGGCGGGTCACTGCAGTGCCACAGTGCACTGTGGTGAAACAAACTTTTTTTTTCGTTTATGCATGTTTTTCAGTTAAATTTAAAAAAAAGTAATAACATACATATATGGCTCTCATGACTTGCCAATTTGGGCCAAATCATAGAATCAATTAATTAGACGATTGAAATATATAGATCGGTTTATATTTTTTTTTGTTTGTAACTCTTACCGTTTATTTTTAAAAAATCTTTTTGTAAATTAGTTCCGATTTTTCAGTTATGCAGCACTTTAGACTCGTTTGAGGTTTTTTAATATTTGGTATGCAACTTTGTGGGATAGCTTAATATCTTTCAGATTCTTCACGAAGTGGTAAAATAAATTTTTTGTATTTGCAAGACAACGATTTTAGTTTAGAAACTTTGCATAAAAATTATGGAAATGAAGGAAGGTTGCGGTGCAGTTGATGAACAAAGAAATTTTGTTTGGTATTTATATCTCGAGTTCCGCCTTACCAATTTAGGTGATGTTTGTTTTAAATTACAACTAGAAATGTCACTCGTTAATCTTTCTGAATAAATAATTATGTATTATTATAATAAGGATACATTGAATATATTGCTTTAATCCTGCATCATAAAATTGTTTTATTTTATTAGTTTGATACCTTTTATTTATGTTTATAGTTGCAAAAAAAACCGAATATTAATGTTACTCACTGTACATTAATCATGTTACTTTAAGTCTTTTACTTTTGATTTTTACAGCAAGCATAAAAATTATGGAAATGGAGGAAGGTTGCGGTGCAGTTGATGAACAACTTAAAGAGTTCATTAAAAAACATGATTTGGATATCAAAGTTTACCAAAACTTATCTGTTTTTATGATTGAAATATTTATAATTATTAAATTGATATTCTTTTAAGAATGCGGATATACAGTCTGTCACAAAAGTATTCGTTTCGAGGTGTTTCACAATCAAATTGAGTTTTTTTTTTTAACATTAACGTAACATATTAATTATTTTATTAATTTTATCAGTTTCAACACATATTCAAAATATATAAAATAAAAAAATGAACAAAAAGTAGCTTCACTGCTGTATTAAACGATTAAAACAAAAAAAAATAAGGCCTCACAAAAGTATTCGTCAGTCACTTTTAGGTTAAGTTTTTTGAAACAGACAATCAAGACAAAGTATCTGGTCATATGCACTAGTCGTGCGACCAACAATCAATTTCAACATTCGTCGTTAAAGCATAGCCAAAAAAAAAATATGTTTTGCATGGATCTCAGCATGCGCTTCCCGTTTGGTAGGTATACCTACTATATATATACTATACTGAATTTTTTTGAGACGAATGCTGAAAAGATTACTTCAGGTGGCAAGTTTTGTCCCCAGGACGCATGCCACTTCCCACTGGGCATTTGAAGGCCTGGAAAAAGTCCTCGTTGTTGGCCAAGGCGCCCAAAACGCGGTACTTTTCGACGGTGTGACCGTCCTGCAGTTGTTCCCAATATTGCTCCTCCTTGTAATCGGAACAATATAGCTGAGCGGAGCCCAGAAAGAAGAGCTGCTCCGGCAACAGGTCGAGTCCTGGCATCTGATCGCTGATCTTTTCCTGCCCACACTCCTCTAGAAGTTGTTTCATGTGCCTACGATAGGCCGCCATTGCGTATCGCAATCCACCGTAGTCGGCGATGTTCTCAAACACTGTCCTTACGCCATCGATGTGACGATCGATTTCCGGAATCACATAGTTATTATAGTGTTTCGCAAAACACCTTAACGTTTCCAAAGAGTAATTCTTGGGAAAACTGTGGGTGAGCTCGTGGCCGATGACGTTGCCCAGGGTGCCAAATTTCAGGGAGGGTGGCCAAGACGGGTGGTAAGTGGGTGGATGCAGGATGCCAGCCATGATGTTAATAGAGTTGTCTGTATAAAGGTAAAAGGCGTTCACCTGCATCCCTAGCAGCTGCCTCTGAAATTTGGAATCCTCGGTCAGTTCATTAGCGTGACGTGTGGTATAACGCTTGATTTCGACCATTAGGCGATGAATATTCATATTAGTCGCCGCGTAGCTATCTTTGACTATTTCCAGGCGGCGAATCTCTCCGATTAGGCGGTCGGTACGCAATTGGTCCTCGGTTGAGCCGATGTTGGACTGAAGGTGGGATTCCATGGAAAGTGCGTTCTCTGAAGTGTCCGAATCTAATCTAATACTTTTTCGCAGTTCCTCTACCATTTCAGAGACTTCCAACCTTTTTTCGTCAGTAAAATACTCCTGAAAGCAAAGAAAATATTTATGAAACTTAAATTCTAGGTGAATTTTGGCAGGTACTCACAGTCATATAGAGCTTGTTGAAGAGAAACGACATGGATGCCTGCACCATTCTTTCGCAGTAATCTTTCTGGTACTTAGTCGCCTTAAGTTTGGCGTCAAATGTAAAGAGTAACTGCATGGCCAGATAATTGGCTACGGCTTCAGGATGCCGTGCACACACATTTTCTATTTCTACAAAGTACTCATTATTAATAGCCACATGGACGTGCTGATTCCAGGCTACCTTCATATAATTGGTAACGTCGAAAGATTTAATGCCCTTTCGGTCATCAGTTTTTTTGGCCACCTCTAGGGCCTCTCGCCAGAAGGCAAAAATCCCTTCAATCACTTCTGCAATCTTAGCCTCTGGCAGGTCAAAGGATTTAAGGTATCCGCGCATGCGCTCCTCGTTGACTTGGTAGGTGCGAGAAGTATTACTTGCGATGTTGTCCGTAAGAACGATGGTGTCAAAGCCCAGATCTGGTAGTTTATTTAAGTGAGGACTAAAGGGGTAGAACGGTACAAGCTCCTCTCGGATCAGCCCTTTTGCCCCGTAATTAGTCAGGTGGGCGCTCATGTTGAACCAGCTAAAGTTGGAGGCATTCCAAGCGGCCCCATCGACGGCGGGGAAACCTCCGATCGATCGGATGAGCCTTAGATAATCAGGATTGCTCGCAGGGAATGGATAGAGATCAGCGCTCAGGCAGGCGTTGTAGAAGCGTTGGGCCACCTCCAGCTCACTGGTCACATTGAGAGTCTTCGCCAGATCCGTCCTGCCCACCAGCTGACCTGTGATGTCAGCCAATGTGTATTTTATATCGACGAAATTGACCCGGCTTCCCAAGGAGTACCGGTCCTGCTTTACATTTCGATAGTTTCCGCAGGCATACTCGTAAAAGTCGTCACAGGGATCTACACTGAGGTTCATATAGGACCTCATGAGATCCGAATAAGACTGAAGACTAGCAGCTGTCGAATTTGAGATACACCTCTTATTTTCCTGCTCGATTGCATCTTTTCTGGCGTAACCAAAAATATATGTAAAACATATAATTAAAAGCACGACGATCGAACACAACAACACAATAGCATGTATTCTTTTCATTATTAACACTCTACTCATTTATTATGGTGCCTTATATTTAAGGGTAACGACTTCTTGATTCAGAACGCCAATTCAAACTGAGCGCTTTATATACAAATAGTTGTATATTCTTATTCCGAAGAACTATTTTTTTATATCTTATGACTAACACCAAAATTGTTAATCTCATTTTTCCAGAATCCTAAACAATCACTCCACACACCAAACTTCCATGTCATCCAACCACGTATGACGTAACTTTTTTCGGACCCATACAAATCGAGCTGATATGGCGAACGATTTCCGGAATCAGATAGTTACTGTGCTGTTCCTTTAAGCACTCTGTGCGTTTCATTAATTCCTGTTAAGATTTTACCGATTGTTAGAAGAGAAATTGAAATAATTACTTTAAAATTAGGTTTATAAACACTAAATTGTAAGTAATATAGGTATAGCTTAGATTTGATACTTTCTTGTGTTATATATAAATTACCTCCTTGGTAATAAATCCTTCGATGACATTAATTTGGACAGCCCTAGGAAGGCTGTGGTAAATGTCGTAAAAAAGAGAACGTAGGGGGGAACGTCATGTAGGAAGAATTCTAAGCAATATCGCAAAAGAAACTATATTTTAAAAACCACGTTCGGCACGAGAAAACGGATAAGATGACAAATTGGCACTTCCAGGGTGACGCACGCGACATTTTTATACCCTTGCAGAGGGTATTATGATTTCAGTCAGAAGTTTGCAACGCAGTGAAGGAGACGTTTCCGACCCCATAAAGTATATATATTCTTGATCAGCATCACTAGACGAGTCGATCTACCCATGTCCGTCTGTCCGTCCGTCTGTCCGTCCGTCTGTCCGTCCGTCCGTTTCTACGCAAACTAGTCTCTCAGTTTTCAAGCTATCGGGATAAAACTTTCCCAAAAGTCTTCTTTCTATTGCAGGTAGTATATAAGTCGGAACGAGCCGGATCGGACAACTATATCATATAGCTCTCATAGGAGCAATCGGGAAAAAAAATGTAAAAAAATTATATCTTGGGTGTTTTTGAACCTATAACATCCTACTTTTGGAAATGTCATTTTTTATCTAATTCTGCATTTCGAATAAAATTTTTTCAAAATCGGACGACTATATCATATAGCTGCCATAGGAACGATCGGAAAATTAATGGGAATATAATAGGAAATAAATTATTGCTTCGTTGGTTTTTATTGTATTCTCTTCTACTCTAGGATATAACTCTTTTCAAAAATTTTCGAATTTCGATTTTAATTTTATCAAAATCGAACTACTATATCATATAGCTGTCATTGAAACGAACGCAAAATTAATGAGAAATAATAGGAAAATTAACATTTTTGCGATTTGTAAATTAATAGGAATTATCTGCAAGGGTATATAAGCTTCGGCTGGCCGAAGCTAGCTTCCTTTCTTGTTTCAACTTAAACTTTAAAAAAAGAGAGAACGCTATAGTCCCCGACTTTTAGTTTAATTTAATTTTATTTAAATTTTATTGTTTTACTATCCTAGCGCCTAGCAATTTGAAATTTAAGGCGATTGTGGGCGTTAGAGGGGGACTGGCCCTCGGCTGATACAAACTTGCGCTGCGTAGGAAACCCAAGAACATGTGTGGGTAATCCCAACTTTCTAGCTTTTGTAGTTCTCTCTTGTTATATTGTATTCCTGCAAAAGTATCCAACAGGGAGAGGGAAGTGTTTTCGCCACGCCCCCTCTCACGCCCAAAATTTTTCAAATTGGACCATTCGTTAAAAAGTTAAGACCGATCAAAGTTTTATATCTCCATATTCCTCGCACTCCCTTTAGTTGATAGCCGGGGCACCCGGCCATAGCGTTCTCCCTTGTTTTAATCGTATTCCGATTCAGGATATAACTTTTTAAAAAATGTCAAAAAAGTTCAAAAATTAAGTTTATGCCAAAATAATAAAAAGACAACTTTAATGTTAATCTAAATGTAATACTGATACTGATACTAATTTCGAATTTCATAAGAATGATCTGTAAGGAAACAAAATACTTTGCTCTTCAGAAGTTATTTTCCTTTCTTGTTTATTTTTTACTCACAGAAACTCATGCCCTTTTATCAAGTGTTATACATTTCCAATCTTCGTTCTTTCAAAATATAAATCAAGCCCCGTCCCCCAAATAAAGTAACATTTTTTTTTTGTTTTATCGCATTTATTAAACTTGTATTCATTCGTCATGTTTGCCTTTTGTGGTTTTTATTTATTTTTTCACTTTTATTTTTATGATTTCTTTGCGACATAACAAGGACATCTTAATATGAAGTTAGTTGAATTCTTTCATATTTTAATAATCATTATCGCTTCGGTCTTATTAATAAACTTGCTATGCCATTATTAGGTGCTGGTTATTTAAATCAATGTTTTGGCATCGGTAAATCAAGATAAAGAAAATCATAATAATTTTGTTAATGGCAAAAGCAGGAAACTTTAAATTTGATTGGCTTTTTAATGTTTTATTGCAGCTTCTTCGGCGCTTAGTTTAAATCAAATTCGTGTTTCCTTTTTTTTCAGTGTCTACACCTTTTTATAATATTTTTTGCAAATATTTCTTGTTTCTTTTATTAATACGTTCTCTTTTTGTTTTTCTTTTCGTTTGTATTTGTTTTTATTTTTTATTTTTGTTACACATACATAATTAAATACGTTTTATGCATAATTACAACACAACAATTAAAATACGAATAGGCTTTACTATTTTTATTTAATGTATTCTCTTCTCAGTGACTTTAATTTCAAATTTGCGCGTTAAGAGTTTTCATTGGTGATTTCAACGATTTTTTAAATATTCCTTTTGAGCTTTGCTTGATGAAAAGTTTCAATATGGCTTGTGTGTGCGTGTGTTTAAGTTGTGTGTGTGGGTGTATTGGCTCGAGTGTGTGTGCTTGTTGTGGTTGTTGTAGTTGGTATGTGGAAGAAAATGGCCAGCACTTTCTGCATCTTAATTAATTTCTATAATTTTACTCGCTTGATACAATAGTTTTTATTTTTGTTTTTCTTGAACTCTTTCCTCACGTTCATTTTGTTTCGAAAATTTCCAAGAATTTGTTGCTTTAAAGTCTTGAACATAGACTAGACACCAATTAAGATTAAAAACATACTTTTATATATTTTACTTTTATTATTTCTTGCTGACAATTTGAACGACTTGTAGCAATTTTATATATATGATATTTTCGGTTTCTTTATATGTAGTTTCTTTTAGCTTTGAACACCTGTCGACTGTTGGTATGCCAGTTGAATTGATTTAATTTAATATTATACCTACATATGCAAGTTCATTGATTATCCCTCTAAGATTTGTTTAGTTACGCTGTTTGTTCAAAACAATACGGTTACACTCATATAAAGTAGTTGGAGTCGTTTAGGTTTAGGTTTAGGCTTTACCAAGTTTAAGCTCATTCAGTTATATAAATAGAGATACAGGTATAGGTATAGGGTAGTACAGGTATTGAACAGCAACAAAAACAGGGGTATACTAAGTACAGATTATCCAGGCCTTCGATATTGCTTTGATTCGTATTCTCTACGGCCCGAAAGTAAAAGATATATATATGTGTATATTTAAAGCGGTTTAAGCAGATGTCACCCCGGTGCACACAACTATTCCCCGTTCTCAACCCGCTCTCTCTGCTAAATTTCGTATTTTTCGCTAGTTTTTCTCAAAGTTTTCTAAGTTGATCCCATGCAACATATTGATTGTGCCTTTAGCAGTACCTTTTTGTTTTTTTCTTTTCGTTCCGAGAACTGAAAAACAACAACATTCTCGTGTGCCTATAGTGAGATCGCTTTAGGAAGTGGAAAGCCTACAGTTCGGGGACTTGCATCTCTGATATCTTTGCCTACTCTCCGATGGCCGAAACGCCTGTCCAGCTGCTTCAAATATAGACTAGTACATTCATTAATGGTTGTTAGTTAAGGGAGTTCCCTAGGCGAATACTTTTCGATTTTCGGATAAGTATCTCTGGATTTCTCGTTATTCATTTGTGGGGAAACTCTTTGCTGATGTGTGTGTGTTCAATTTGCTCTTATTTAATATATTTTTGCTTACTTTTCGCTTATCAGTTAATTAGCAGCCAATTAAACAAGTGTTTGCGTTATATTCTAAATTATGAATAAATCAATGGATAACAAAAAGTTATGAATAAACAAAACTTAAATTAGTATTTTTAACATTCCCGTTGAGCCAATCGTTTGTTGTTTCTCCTTGCTGATTGCATTTGAATTCATTTTTGCCCAATTAAATACATTACAAATTACAATTGCTAAATACATACAATACAATTCTTAACTCGCTTGTTTGCTTTTATGTTTTAGATTAGAAACATTGCTTAGCTTCTCCCCAAAATGATCAACATTATCATCATCATCATTATTATTATCGTACTATTATAGATTAATTTCATTTATCAAATATTCATGATTAAGTTTAGATGATTTTTGTGTCCTTGTGTTTTTGTTTGGTATTTGTGCTTTGTTGTGGATTGTGATTGGCTGTTATTTTGCTGTCTGCCGAATTGCTCAATTTGAAAGAAACATGTTTACAAAATAAAATCCTAAGAAGCCTGCAAGTGACCTTTCTTCAGTTTCAGTTGCTGTTTGTTGTAGCTGTTGATGGTGGTTTTGTTGGTTTGTTGTTCAGACTTTTTATCGTGTATCGGTGATATTGTTTTTGCTCCCAAATATCTTCACCAACTGTGACTCGTAGTCGTCAATGTTGCGCTTCATAATATCCATGCAGGGGCCCAGCAATCGCTCAAATGCCTTGACATCGAGGACTAAATCAAAAAAGAGTCATAAGATTAGTTAAGGCACTAAATATAAAATGCATTGAAAACACTTAATACATGCTGGGCAATCGGTATTTCTGGGAAGGGGGTTTTAGTATAACTTATTTAAGAACATTTTAGCACACACCAAACCAATCCTGATCTCATTCCTTGATAACCACAGGCCCCAATATCATCTACATATCCATCTCTTACCAATCCGTTAACCTTTAGTTGCCTGTGTCAGCTTCAGACATTCAAATTTCATAGTGCTGTGGGCTTAATTTTGGGGATGTGAGGGAGTGGCACTTAACATATACTCATGTGTGTGTGTGTTTCAAAACAAACTCAATTTTATTATTTCTTGAACGACTGAATTTTGAATCGGTCTTTAGTAAATTCGAAAAACTGTTTCTTGCATTTGAGAATTTTGACTTAAAACAACCTACAAAAATAAAAACATTTCAAACGGTTTCCTTCACAAATTCGTATTTCGCCGCGCCATGTCGGTGAACATTTGCTCATAGATCACTATATTGCGCTTGAGTACATCGGTCAGGAAGCCCATTATCCGTTCAAAGGCCTCTGTGTCTAGGACTGGACGGAGTATATAGTTTTAGTCAAGTATCTATAAAATGTAAGGGGCCAATTTGATGACCTCATTGTTTAGCAATGCTATTTTGTAAGAGCCGAGGGCCTCTCTAATGAATAAGATAGGACCTTTCTTCGTTAAAAAAAAGAAAGGATTTTTGTTGGGCAAATTTTAAGGCTTGATAACAATTAAACCCCTTGTAGAATTTCCCGGAAATGTTACCCGTATCTTTTAACTTAAAGATAGAACAATCAACAATTTGGTACATTGACTGCATATTGCTTTAAGGTTGGTTTAAGGTTTAAGATTGTAATCGACAGGTGAAATATTTTTAGTTTTTGTAGCGTTTAGTGATTTTCTTAACGCGATCTAACATTAGGGGTGTTTTATTTAACGGTATTTATGGCGAGTTTAGAAATGTATAATTATGACAATTTTATTCAAGCCTCTTAAACAAGCCCGTTTTAAGAAGCAAGAATTACGTTAAAATTGTACCGTTCTTTTTTATTGTTTATGATTTATTCAAAAAGTTCAAAAGGCCATTTGTTGATTAAGTTCTAGTATAAGGCTTACTTAAACCTAGCTAAATGAGGTCATACAAATGGAAAGTATAACTACTGTTTCTACTACTAATACTACTACTATTGCTAATTGTCTTGCAAATTGCCAAAATATTCGCGCAGGTCCTGCTCCAGATAGCGATACCCACTAATGCTGCGCTGAATGCCCCCACTACACTTTCCCATGAGACGTTCGAAGCAAATAACATCCAAGACTACACACAGCACACAAAATATACGGGGGATTGGGCCAGGGAAGCCAGGGCGGGGGACAGGACAAAGAACAAATAAACAAAAGCATTAGGGATTAGGTCAAGCGGGGGATCGACTGAAACGCTTTCCGTGTAGCTATTCCACAGCCGGCCGGGACACTTACATGCTAGCTTGACGACGCCGCCCGTGGCGTAGACGGAGGCAGCCCGGGGTCGATGTGTCACCAGCGCCAGCTCGCCGAAGTACTGGCCCTTGCCCAGCTGCGAGATCTCCACCTCGGCGTCATCCTGGTCCATGCGCACGGACACGGTGCCCTCCTCGATGAAGTACATGCCGTCGGCGGCGTCACCTGGGGATTGGACGAAAAATCTTTGCCATTAGACAATTCCCAAAAGGGCAAACAGGGCAATTTATTTAACCAAGACCAACATACGCCTTCGTAAAATTGAAAAGTGTAATTCCAGGAATAAATACATAGTGTAAAATATATAAGTACTAATATTTAAAAAATTACTTTTAGTATATATCTGTTTTTTTTTTAACTTTTTAATAGTTTCAATAGAAATAATGGGAAAACTAATAGAATTAAAATTATAGCTTTGTTGTTTCTTAGACATATTATTTTCTTCTCTGGGGTTTATCATTAATACGATTAAATAATTATTTAATCCTCTCTGGGATATAAATTGAATTAATATTTCAGAATAGCGAATTTAATTTTTATTTAATGTAACGACTATTTTATACAATTGCGATAGAAATTGAAAGATGTTGGGAATAATAACCGAATTTCAATTTTTTTAAACTAAATCTAAAGCTACCATGGAAAGGCTCTGCCAGTTTATAAACTTCGGCTTGCCAAAGCTCAATTCTTTTCTTGCTCTACACAAGATAGCATTTTATTTCGCCTCAGGTAAGTTTCTCTTTAACTTTGTCAATCATTTACCCTGCTTGATGATGCGTTCGCCATTGTCGTAGCTCTTTGAAACCAAAGCATCCGCCAGATTCATGCGTTCGTAGTTCTGCAGCACAAGAGTTAGATATACAATATCGATTGGGGGAGAAGTGGGAGTTTGGGAGTACCCACCTGCAAGGCCTTCAGCATGGGCACGCTGTTCAACAGCTCCTCGTACATTTTCCGCTTCCTGAAGGCCGACTTCAACAGGATGCGGCGGAAGGTCTGGCGATCCATGGCCCAAAGTAGACCACTCGTTTCCGCCTGCACGGTGGCCGCTCTAGATATTTAAATTCAACATTAGAGACACGTCTATATATGTATGGTGTATATAGCCATTAGCACATTGTAATTGTGGTTCAGACAGCGCGGAAAATTTGGCATAATGAATCGATCAAATACGAGAGAGTCGCATACCTGGGCATATTGTAGAGCAGCGCTAATTCACCGAAGAGTCCAGTGTGATTGTAGGTGTTAATGTGCTTGTCATTAATAAAGACTTTGTAGACGCCTCTGCGGGAATAGGGAAAAAGAAGGGGTGTTAAGAGACCAGAGAAGTACGAAAAATTCGCTTTAATTGACTGCAATTTATAATTGATGCGGTGCGTGTGTGCTCATCAATATGTAAGTACTCATTAATTGCCATATCAAATACTAATTCCCATTCAAACACAAATTAATTAAGCCGCACATAAATGAATGAGGTTCGCTGTTCTGCATGAGTTATTATGCGGTTATACTTCTTTGAGTTCATTCTAAAACGTTTAATTTGCCTTTAACAAATGCGAACAAATTTATGGGACTGTGCTTTAAGTTGGATTAGGTAAGAAATAACCTACTATTAATTAAAAAAAATTTATAAATCTTTAGAAAATTCGTTAATAAATTGATATTATATAGTTAAAGTTATTTTTCAGTTTAAATATAAAATAAATTTTTATACCATTATTTTTTAAATTCGTTTTCTTAAGTGGTAACGGTTTATTTAAACAGCAATTCATTTATTTACAAGTATATGGTATTTAAATTATCTGAACAGATTTGTAATACTTTCAAAAAAGATATTATATATTCATGCTAACTTTAGATAGCCCCAACAAAGTCACGAAAAGTTACCCCAACTTCAAGCTAACTTTTGGCCAACATAAAATGTGCATTATTCATCGAGTTTGATTGGAAACTTGAAATGTGTTTTGTTTTACTTACGATTCAATAACATAAAAGTTATCGCCGTCGTCACCCTGGCGGATGATATAGTCGCCCGGCTGAACCTTCCGCTCAAACATCGCATCCAGGACTTGGTTCATCTGCGAAAACAAATCAGTTACAAGGGGCTGATTTCCCAGGGAGTGGGGGGAGCAAGCAGAAGCCTGCCTGATGGGGGATAATCCCCCGTAAAAGGGAAACCGCAGGCAGACACTTATTCGGGTTAAACGCGGATGCGTGTGTGCCTGCCCCTTCCCCTTTCTGAGCTCCCCCGAGACTTATGATTTATGTAGTGGATGCGAACCTGCTCTTTTTCGAGGGATCGGAACAGGAGGACGTTCTTCACCGACTCCACCAGCCGAGCCCGCTGCTCATCTGTCTTGGGGAACACGGCAGTGGCACCATCATCGTCGTCATCCGCCTCCGGATCGTAGGCCTCGGCGAAAACTGATTTGCGGCGCGAGCTGGCCATCATTGGTGGTTCTGCTGAAATATTACAAATACAAATCAGATTCTAGGCATAAGCAAAGTCTCGGAAAGAGTCTGAAAATGAATCCCACGAACAGCAATGTCTTTATTTAATGACCTACAAAATAGCCCGTTATCTGAACGCTGCCATCAGCCTGGAATCTGCTGCTCTGGCACATCTCCTGCTGGGCCACAATTGCAATTCAAATGAAACTGCAGAGGAGCTCGCATATCAACGACGGGCAGCATAATCCAATGGAATTTGGTACCACGTACGGAAAACTCTGAGAGCATGTGCACTCTGTCTCGCAGTTTTACACCGGAAAAGTCTATTTATGTTTTCAATGGTAATATTTAAATGTATTCATCTTCTTTATTGAACTTCTAAGGGCCGTTTTCTCGCCCGCATGTTAAAGTTAAAGTACACTTTAAACTCGGAATTTCAAGTTTGAAAAAATAATTATTTTGCTAAATTACATTATTAAATATTAAAGTACATTTTTATGTCTCAAATAGATTTTTTGCATTCATTTTATCTAGGCTCTTTTACTTTTATTTTTAACTTGTTGTAGTTTACTTGGAAACAACATTAGATGAAATTGTGCTTTTTTCCTTTTGAATTTAAATTGAAGTCATCTTTTTGGAATTACTTTAAAGCAGAATAAGAAGCCTTTTTTAACGTAGAAAAATGTATAAACTTAAATTATAAAATAATAATTAGTCGGTAAAAAAAATTGAAAATGAAAAATGGTCAACACCCATAAATTAAAATTAACCGAGATAAGTTCTCTTTCAGATTTTTTTCTTTATGTGAGACAATCTCAAACCCAGATCGTAGATTGCGTTTCCGACAATTAAAATTGCATAAATATAAGGCATTGTCCAGCTGAGACATGCCAGAATATTTGTCAAATATGCGATACAATCAAGGCTCATCGTTTCTTTTCCTTCTCTGCTACAGATATTCAAATGTTTGTTCGGGTTCACATGACCGCAAAATCAATTGCTAAATTTATACATTCAAACCAAGCACAACACCTTAAGTGAGCATGTTTTGTCTATATGTTTTATTTTTGGTCAACGAAATTCGGGTTTAGCAAAGCTCCTCTACTCACCAGCCAATAAATTACCAGACACCTGAGTGGACATTTTCAATTGCACTGCGGCTTTCTGTGCGTGTTTCCGAATTTAGTTACGATTTCAAATCGGTTGCAACGAGCGCGAAAATAAAAACCAGTTAGGCATGAACACGTTTAAAAATAAGTAGAAAAAGTGTGTGTATATTTTTTGATTGGTGTATATGTAACCCAAGGTGAGTGATGTAGAGACACAAAATAAAAAAACAAAACAAATCCAGCGCAAACACCAAGCGCTTGGCTTTCCCGTCACACGCTGCGTATGCGTAATAAATATTTATGCACTCGAATGTTTGGCGAAGCCTTCAGCAAGTCAGTCGAAAATGTTTGTGTATCTGTTCTTCCACAGCGAAATCACCGCACTCAGTCGGTGAATCGGTTTCGGATTTGGATTGGCAGAGAATGTTTGCACTGCAGCCCGCAGTTTTCCACTCGCAGTCGTGTCAAGTTGCCAGTTAGAGTGTCAACCTAATGATGCAATTACCCACCAGCTACACAGGCACGCATTCTGGAAATCCCCCGAGTCTCCCTCCTCGACAAAGGCCACAAAAATTGTAAACCAAGACGGGCCAAGTGCACGTCTATTTTCCCCTCCAGACAAGTATTTATCCAAGCCCTGAATATACTTGTACACCCGTCGACTGTTTGCATTGTGTGAGCAACAGCACTGACGCCCACGTCCAAAATCTTGGACAGCAATTGCCTCCGTGCTCTGCTCTGGTTTTTATTACAGCCTAATGTGCAAGGTCTGTTGAGGTCTGTGATTTTTGATTTACAATCTGGTAATTAGCAAAAGATTTCATTTGTCTATCAATCAGGAAAATTCCATTTCGAAATTTATGGGATTTTTAATTTTTCAACGCGGATGGATTTCTATCAAATTATTTAGTCAATGATATATTGCGTTCTTGATTTTGCGGTTTTAGAGGTTTTTGATTTGAAATTCCGTCAGTCTAATTATTGCGTAGGTACAGTAAGTTGTTTTTCGCTTTTAAGAATATCTATTTAGATATCTGTTAAATAATTTCGGGTATCTATAAAATCGAGATTTTATTTAAATTTAATTAAAAATATTAAATATAATTACATTTTCTAAACTAATTATAATTTAAAAGAATTTTACAGTGATTTAAATATTTCTTGATCTTTTAAAATTATTATTTGCATTTGAATATTTTTGATTTTGCATTTGACTTGCTTGCTTACAGTTTATTTTCTAAGCTTAAGCCCAAAATTAAATTTAAAATTAAGGCTATCAAATTTGAATTCGATTATATTTTTAACAAAAACTGTCCTCGGTCAAAAGTGAAAACTAATTTAATAATTGATGTCAGTCGCAAAGATTTGCTCGCATCGATAAAATGATTTAAACTCGGAAAGATCTAAGATTTAACTAAGCCCGCAGCCAAACTTTAAATATCATTTGGTAATTGATGCACTGAAAGTATTTCAATTAAGTAAGTTGCTTGCTCCACAAACACACGCATGCACTCTGCACACACAAATAAGCTGGGGAATTCAATTAAGGATGGCAAATAAAAAGTTGTCTGCATTAATTTCATTAGCAGAATGAGACAACGGCAACGAGGACGACTGCGAGTGACGGCGACGAGATAGAGATGTATATATATTTAAATATAGGACGACAACTTCCGACGATGATTGAATGAATGAATGGCTGGCCAACAGGCGAACGAGCTAAAAAACTGAATGACAAACCGACTGAAAGACGGTTTTGGATGTGCGTGCTATCCTTGTGACGTCCTCCGAACGACTGAAAGTGCCATTGGTGCCACAAGAGGCACAGCATCGCCGCATCGCCACATCACCGACCACATCGCCATCCTCGTCCGCTGGAGTCGCTGATGACAGGCACAGGCAAACGTCAAACCAAGGCGGAAATAGTGCCTGTAAGTAGGCAGCACAACACGCCACTCAAGCGGTCCAGTGGTTGTCGGCCGTCTATTTATACAGCTCCCTATATGTGTGTGCCAGCTGTCTGTCGCTTTGTTGGCTAAACACTGATAAAAATGTCACCCAAATGGGACAACAGATATACAGATTTCACTTTAATTTTACGGTATATGGTTTGGTTAGTGTTTTGAATAATATAAGTTAAACTACACCAAGTAAAACTTGATATAAAATGATGATGATGATTAGTTTGATACTAAGTGGTGTCAATTTTGACTGAATATGCGACATCTCAATTTAATATGCTTGAAATGTAAACTGCATGTTCTAAGTAAGCCAGTTCGAATCTCGAATGAGTCTTTCTCGCACCCACTCACAAAATTTATATTGCCATTTGCTTCTTTCTCTCTTTTTCGAATTCAAAAGAATATCCAATAAAGAGAAATCAATCAAATGATATTATTTAATATACATTTTACCAGTATTGCATTGTAAACACGATATGCGTTATTTTACCTCTTTCTTCCAATCAAAACTTCTTACAAATATGATAAGGATTTGATAAAGCTGATATCATTAAAAATGTAGAAACATTTTTAGAGACTTACTCTTAATTTTTTTCCGTGCCGCTTTATAAATAGCAGCCACACTCTGCTTTGTCTTGATTAACATGAGCATTCCCTCAGCTTTTTCATATAAGCATTCATATACACATTATTATTAAGCGCAACAGGAGGACGCTGTTGCAGGGAAGAGGGTTGGATGAGAAGCGACAGAGACGGCATTTCCGTTCAGGCTTTGCCACCGAAGCAGCCTGGAGTCCTGCCGCAAACGCTGCTGGCATGTCAATAATGTTGAAATGCTTCTCACACCACCACCCGTGCCACGCCCCCCTTGGACCGTTCACCACCGCCCCCCGGGGCGTGTCATGCGCCCTGTGTGCCCGATGAAGCGTGTGCGGCTGCTGAGCTGTTCATCAGTATATGCTTCAGTAGTCCTGCAGGTCCTGCAAAACATAACCCACCTCTTGACCATTTATCCAGCTACCCGTTCCTCCGGTTTTTTCCCTCGGTTTGACGCTGTGGCCAACGGGAGTGTTAATAAAATGTACCAGGGTAAGCGCATACCTTTGACCACCTCGCCAAGCGCAACTCAAACACAAACACACACACACCCCTTATTGGGCCTACGCGGCGTATGGGCGATATTAATGTCACACCAACTTTAAAGCCCAAAGTTAAGCAAAAACTTTTGCAGCAAGGTTTCGGGCCACAAATAGACATCAAAGCGTAAAAATACAGACTTCGATCGAAGGAAAAACCCGGGGGGGCGGAAAAGCGTGGCAGGCGGTGGGCGTGGCCAGTAGCTATTTGCGTGCCATTTTCGCTCCAGTTGAGTTTGGAGCTTGAAGCGATTTCGCTGGCTTCAGTGGGCAGCCAATGCGGCCAAAGTGTTCATGACAGCCAGACGTTAATAGTGAGACAAAGGTCGAGAACTATGCATAATATTTTAAGCCTTATATAGTCTCTTTTTTGATAAGGAAAATTAAAACCAATGCGATCCAAAGTTGCGTTTCACGACTAAAAACAGCTCGGCGAAGAAGCTGCTCCCAGGGACTAACTTTTATCAACAGATCCATAATCTTTTTGACATTTGAGCTCAAGTTATTTGACTTGTAGTTCAAGCAAGTAATCGTTGCGTAACTTCTAAGCCAAGTTTCATAATTTTCGACTTGTATTTTGCTTGATCTTATGCCTTCCATAAACTCTCCGTAAAAATGGCTTTTTCAACCAACCCAAAAGCCCCTTTAAATGACACAAGCTAGTTGGAGCTTTCAAAGTCTGACTGTAAGTGGATCGAATATTCAAGCAGCGAAAGGATTGGCAGCTGCAAGTTGGCTCAGCTCTTCGGTCTGCTGTGTGCACAATTAATAGATTTTTAATGACAGGAGCAGTGTGCCCCATTTCATCCGCCCACCTCCCCCCGTCCACCCACTTGACATGGCATCCACCTCCTCCCTCGAGGGCTGCGTGTTTGATTAACCGGAAGATAAACACGCAAAAGGAAGCTGTGAACAAAAGCCCGCAGACAGAGACGGCCAACTAAGGGGGCAGGAGGAGCAGGAGCAAATTGAACTCGGCTAAAGCTTCATCACCATCATTATTTAATTTCGTATTTTGTATGCCCGTAGTGGGAGCCCAAGATTTATGGCCATATGCGTGGCCCCTGCTAATTATCCGAACACGTGTCGGAGGGAAAGCACCAAGGAATGGGAAATCATCTGCTCCACGAGAAAACTTTTCAATTTCTGGCAGCAAAATAAATCTTGATTTCAACCGCCCTACTCATAACCAAAAAAAAAAGGAAAGAACTGGCCAGAATCGTCGGGGGAATTACACCAGCAGATTGTCTATATGTCGAACCAATCTGACATTGCTGACGTCAGAGATTTGCAGCCACTACGCAGCAGTTCGCAGCAAATTGCATGACGGAAATAAAACACAAACTGGGGAGGAAACTAGGAAAAAGTACGTGAAAAAAGTACACAGAATCCCAGGCAAGAATTTTTCAACACGCAGCAGAAGCAAATGCAATGCTAAGGAGATTTTAGGTAAAAAAAAAACGACTTGCAGTTGTGCCAAGGAAAAGTTGACAGGACACGCAATCGAATATCTTTGGAAAAAAACCCATTGGATTCCGGAAGCTTTATGAAGCAGTTCAAATAAAATAAAACTCCACTTACCATCGGCATCTTGTGAGTTGACGCTCAGTTGGTCATCGGTACTTTGATCCGTGTGAGAGACGCTTGGACGTTCGGCCTGGAGTTTGGTGAAGTATTCCACGGCATAATCGATCACATCCGGGGGCTGTTCCACCAGGAACGAGATCGAGAACTGCAGCAGCACCTCCTTCAGCTCCTCGGGTACCTGGATCCTTCGACTCGAATCGCTTGACATATTTGTGCTGTGGGCAAGATAAACAGGACAGTTAGATTGAGTATGATTTCAATTGAAGAAAACGTAATTTGAATTTTTAAAAATCATTATAGTATTCCCTACTTATCTCAATTACAAAATGTATGTATTTTTTGTAAAAACAAAAGCACCGAAAACGAGCAGTAAACCCATGTAATAATAAACAGCTTTAATCATCCGTTTATCCGAAAAGATATCACAAAAAAGTTTATCTACAACTGATTTTAATGGAAAAATACTGAAAATGATGCCCGACCTGCCCGTTTTACCCCCGTTTAATTCACTGCACCACATGAACTGCAATGGGACACCCAAAAGTTGTTCATCCATCAGGGTTTCAGGGGGAGATGCGGCATTGGATGGAATTCCGAGTTTAACCTGCGGCCAACGGTCACCTGCTGGCTGTCGGTCATTTAGATGGCAATTACCCACCCGCCGCCCCCGATATATCTGATCCATCAGCGCTGTTTTTGTTGTCGCCACCACCCATCAGTCAACCAAAACCAAACCCAACTCGGCTCATGATTCAACATTGCACAATTTGAGATTTTGGTCTGGTTCGGTCGTTTGGCGAAAACGACAGACGTGAGATTCATGTTAAATTTCTGCTCTACCCAAAAACGAGCTGCGACAAATATAATTTACGAGTAATTCACTTTTCACTTGGGTTACTTTATTTTTATAGAAATTGATTTCGATGGCATTGTCTTTTCGATTCGCAGTAAAAAGGCTACATGAGGTCACAACTGCTGATGCATTTAAAAACGTGCTTATAAAACACTTTCAGTCGGAACAGATAACGAATGGCTATTGTTTGGATGGGCAGGGCCCTAATATGATTAATGTGTTATGCAGAAATGGTTGTAAACAAAAAGCGTTAGAGATAAGAATGTTTAAAGAACATTTCCGGCCAAATCAAATTCAAATCGTGCTAATAAAGATAAATACACTTTTCTTCATGGATATATTATACATATCTACTTATATATTACGTCCAGAAATATTCCACAGCTTGCTAAACAACTAAATAATGGAAGAGCTTTACTACAGACGAAATCATTTTCCTGCCTCTGAATAACTTGTAAACCTTATATTTTAAACCCTCCGGTATTATCTTAAAAACTCCTACTTCGCCTAGAAAACCAACAAAGAAATTAATTTCAGAACATCAGCATAAATATTTATAAGTTTCCGTCAAATGTGCGTAATTATGTAAATTACCTATTGAGAATCGGTTTGTGGGGGTAGAATATTTTGGCGGGGGATTGGTTCAACTTCTTCCGCCCGCATCATTTTATTTTCCCTAATTTGAAAATTAATTCTTGCCAGAGCAAAGTACATACTTCGGAATATTGTTCTTGTTCGCTGTTGTTTCAGCCAAACTTTTTCAATTACGCTCATTAATATTCAACTTGCCCTGCGGCCTGTCGGAACAAATAAATATTTAAAACTAATAAAGGTTTGCCCCGCCCCGCCCACGAGAAAAGTCCCGATTGCGATGAAAATTTAATCGGAAAGTCTCTCGACTCAATAACCAATTGGGCGTTTAAGTGCCTCCGCTGATTGGCCCGGCCAAAAGCCGACTGCCGACTGTTTTTCAGTTGCTTTCGTCTGGCTGAGAACATGAGACATTAGGCGGCGCAGTTGCAATTAGAGTGGGTCAAGGTGGTTCACTCAACGCACTGCAACCGCACGAATGGCAATTGCACAAACATCTGAGAAAACTATAAATACCCGGGCTCAAGTAATAAGGGGCTGAATGAATGTCCACCCCGCCCTCGCCCCCTCCTCGCTTTTCCCATTTTCCACCCATCAGTCAAGGATTTAGGTGCGGGCTGGCCGCAGAAACAAGTAGAAAAAGTAACGGAGAGCACACAAGAAAGAAAAGTTAAACCATTTTCATTTCCTCACAATTTCCGCAGCTGCCGGCGAACGAAAGTAAAAATGCACAACCATTTCGCCGACAGTTATAGACGGTGAATATATATCTATACATCTACACAGTCGTGAAATGGGTAAAGTCAGCTGACTCAGACTTTAATATCTGTACTCGACGAAACGGTAAGCTAATTTCTACGACTACAGGTAGCCGAGTTAGGTTGAATAAAGGTGATTACATTTTATAAAAAGTTGAAAACTTCATCATTGGCTGGGGACTTTATTCACATTTTTTCTTCGAATAATCACGTTTGATAGGATTGTGCTTTTCCGCACTGAGAGAAAACAAGAACGAGAAGCTTTTACCTTTAAATTAAATTATACGGCATCTTTAAGAATGCAAGGCCACTATATACCCTACATCACCATCCTTATAATTCTTGTGTTACGAAATCGATAATTTTGAAACGAAATTTATAATTTAATTTCTATTAGTCATATTCCCGTATATCTAACATTTTCTTTTGTGGATTACGTTTTATTAAAAGTGCAAAACTTTTTCATCCGTTCTATGCTATTTAAATGGGAAGGGATCTTAACTTTTTTATATCTGCTCAAAACAGTTGATGGACATTTGCCGCTGTATCTATGCTTCTATCTTGCTTTGGCTGCATCTGTTTTATGTTGTCATTTCCATTTCCATTAACATTTTCATTTATATTCGCGCTTTGCATTCGGATTCCCATCCCCCTAATGAAATTTCCCGGGTTTCGGCTCATGTCTCTATCCGCTGGCCAGCATCATTATTGTCGTCGTTATCATTATCATTATCGTCATCCTCAACGGTGGCAGCATGCAGCGCTTTTATGGGATTAAGGCAAACTAATTTCGCCACCAGCCCCCACCCCCCTCGTGGTAAACTGTTGCACCCACAGAGGACCCCAACCCGAAGCCGATCCAATCCTCCCTCCAGAGTGCCATCAAAATGATTACGGCTTGGTTATGCGTGGCAAGTTAACCATGTGCATATGACTTCCATTTTAATGTCATTTTTACTGCAGCTGCAGGTGGTGGTGAAATGTGAAAGCACCTAACCACACACGCCCTCCACCACCCACCGCCGCGCACAGCCCACTGTGGGTGGAAAGTATCCTCTGGATGCCTGACCTTTCACCTCCCCCTCCTCCCCGCATGTTTGCGCTTTTACAAAATTGCGGAATTGAGTTTTGCGCTTGCAACAAAATTGAATCCAACTTTAAAATTGCATTTACATTTGGAATCAGGTTTTTGCTCTCCATCCATGATTAATTTGTGGAATTATTCATGGTGTTTTACGCTGAATTTAATGAACTTTTGAGAGGTGCTAGAGACTCTTAACAAAATATATTAACGTAAAAATTAATACTCGATAAAAATTGTATATCTACATAAGTAGGTATGTAATGAAAGGGTTTTTTAAAAAAGGATAACTCGTAATGTTCCATTTAAATCCCATTTTTAAATTGTGTGAGTAATGTGCTGAGCAGAACTCAAGTTATCTTGTAAATTTTAAATAATCAGTTTAATTACCAAATATTACTTAATATTAATCAACGTTATGTACTCATCAGCCATATCCCATTGATATCAAATAACAAAACAGCTCACATAATCCTTCAAAAAGATGAAACAGAACAACCTTGAGGATTTCCTGGACCGAAAATACCAGATGACACAAAAACCCTGAATATAAGTGGCCAACTGGCGTTGTTTTTGTTGCTCAACCAACCTGTTTGCAGGATCCTTCGTCGGAATTCTGTGTCAGTTGGCCTATCCAATTACGTCAACAATTCAGAAATGGGACACCTGTGCGTGGGTTTTGGGTTTTTTGGGTTCAAGAGCGACGGCAATCAGAAGCCGTGCTCCAAATGACTTCATTAAGGAACGGCAAACTATAAATGTGTGTGCCTAATTAGCCGAACTACATGGACACATCTCGAATTTGATGGTCAGTTCGTGTATTCAGCAGTTCAACAGTTGGAAGACCTCAAAACAAAGAAGCCCTCGAGGCGGCCTAATTATTATGCATGTCCCATGACCATATATCGAGGTCTGCCCGTGTCATTGGCAGTGCTTCACCCAGACCCAGCCAGCCCAACCCCACTTGACCTCCCCACTCTATTGAATTCGAATTGGGTTAAGTGTTTTAATGGCAGAACGGCAGGAGAAAATTCGGTTTTCCAAGAAAAAGCATTTCCAGCGAGGCCACAGCTCAAGTGCAGTGTCATTCTCTATTGTTTTATGCCACATATTCATAGGCAAAGGATTTGCCAAAAACGAGCCAACAATAGCCTCAATTATGATTTCATGGCTTTGAACAGTATGCAATTAGAAAATCGAATGAAATTGATATTCAATATGGGAAAAGGCTTTAAGTTGCAATACAATTACCAGAGAATAAACTTGCTAAAAAGTTTGCCAAAATGTTCATGTAAAATCACCTTTATGGCACATTTTCTGAGAAATTGAATTTTAATTGATTTTCTGGTAACAGTTTTAATGTTCTCTGGCTTTGCTGTGTCCCGAAATTGCTTTTTTATTGCAATTTTACTGTTCATTAGGAAATGTAATTTTGGTGCGATTTTAGACTTCTACGGAGAAAAAAGGTAAAAACAAGTACATTATTTATAATTTTTATGTGATTATAAGTTTACAATTTTGTTAGCATATTGTGAAATACTGCGATTGCATGTTGTGTCACTAAAGGAAATATAAATAAATAAATTAATTTATGCGAACAATTCAGTGTTGTTCTTTCGGATTTGCATTTTAATTTAATTTTTGTATATGTATTTATTTTTTGTTTTCCAATTGTTTTGGCTCATCATAATTTGATGTTCAGGTTTTATCTGCTCTTAATTAAAAAATGTATGTTTTTGGGTTTCACTACATCAAAATTTTACTTCATCGTTCGGAAAAGGTTGAGCTTGAGTTTGAATTTTAAACATTTTTTTTTCCAAAAAGCATTTACAAGATGAATATAACTTCTCTTGCAGAAAGCATTTTCTCACTGCTACCTGTTCTGTTTTACTTTAATATTTTCCAGTGGCTCTGCCAACGATGTTTATCTTT